GGAGGAGGAGGGAGGAGGATGAGGAGGATGAGGAGGAAGGAGAAAGATAAGGAGGATGAAGAGGAGGAGGAGAGAGGGGGGGAGGAGGGAAGAGGCGGAGGAGGAGGACGAGGAGGAGGAAACACGGCTACATCTCCGCTGACTCGAAGGCGCGCCCAGGGTGGAAAGGAGAGGGAGCGGCTTCTCAGAAGGCGGCGTCGCTTCTCAGGAGCCCTCGCGACTTCCGAGAAGCCGTCCGCGGCTTCGGCAGAAGGCCTGCTAGGCTTCTCGGAAGGCGCGAAGGCTCCTGAGCAGCCCTGCCGACTTCTGAAAACGAGCCCCCCCCCTCTCGCATCCCCCTGGCGTGCCGCCGGCTCACGAAATACCCCAGGAACTGGGGAGTCCAAAAGGTACCGATACCACTACACCCTGCGAAGTGCTTAAGAAATCATGGGTTAAGAAATTCATAGTCTCAGAAGTTGAATAAAAGCCGAACATTTCTATTAACATCGAAAGATTTACATCGAAACGTTAAGAATAATCGAGACTCTGGCCGAAAACTTAAGTTGTCTTAAGCATCGCCTAAGGTGTACATCCCAGACCTCTCCTGGGGCGCGTTCTGGCCAAGATTTCGAGGCGAGTCCAGCGGTGTCGACGAGGGCCTCCCAGGAGGCCCCCAACAAAAGCGAGAACGGGTGAAGGGCAGCGGTAGGGGTACCTTTCCCTCCCCCGAGGAACTTGAGGCACTCCTATCAAGGGGCCCCAGGACACACAAATAAATACACACAAATAAAATAATTCCCCATATTTTCCTATATTTTCTGGGTTTTTTGTCTTCCCGCCCAATTCTCATATTTTCCCATATTTTCTTGGGAATCGACGATTAATTGTGTCTGTGTGTTTTTTCCCCTCCTGATCCTATCCGAACGAGATGCCTTCCCATGCCTGGCGGCGGGAAATCCCCCTCGAAACCATACAAGGCCCAGCGGGCCAGGAACCTCGCAAAATTTCTGACCTCACGCAGATTTGAGGGTGCGGCTGGCGTGCCGCTGGATAGCTCGCACGCGAAAAGGGCTCCCAGAGAGCCAGCCAGGGCGCCAACAAACAACGGGTCGCATCTTGTCCCTCACTGCCTGGCAACCCCAACGAAGGAAAAAAAGCATCCCCCCGAGGAAGTTCCGAGATGGCTAAAGGACGGCCGAGCCCGCCTCCAAGACAATCCAAGCAAGTTCTCTCCAACGGGCCGGGACAGCCGACGAATCCTCCTGGCTCGGATGCCCCGACGAGTGAAACAAGCTGACAAGCAGGATGTGTCAGATTGCTTGTGTGTTGGTCTCGACTTTCTGGCTCGAGTAGGCATATCAGACGCGCGGCCTCAAAAGAGCCTTGCCGTTTTCGGACTCTGGAAGCCCCCGCCGGGCCTCGGACCCGTCAGAAAACTACTCGGGATGGAAAACTGGCCTTCGGGGAATGATCGGGAAGTCCGGGGACCTCGCATCGAAGAAAAAAAGACTCCGGATGCCTGGGATACGCGGGGAAGCAACAACAGGATCAATGACACGCCGCCGTGGTGACTCATCAGCGTGGTACGGCTAAACATCGGCGGCCAGCGAGGGGGGAAAGTAAGAAGGAGAAAGCCTTCTCAGAAGGCGGCGGGCTTCTAAGAGAAGCCCGCCGGCCTTCTGAGAAGTGTTCTGCGTCTGCGGGAATGGCCTAGAAATCTTCCCAGAAGGCCGGGGGACTTCCGCGCCTGCCGAGAAGGCCTTCCGCGCCTTCTGAGCAGGCCCGCCCCTTCTCACTTCCCCCCCGGGGCTCGCCGCCGATGAACGGGGACGCCGCGTCTCTGGGCAAGAACGGAGGAGCGCCACGCCAACGGGCTCCAAGCGGCGGCGCGTCCATGATGCAGCTGTCCCTCCCGAAAGGGGGGCGGAGGGTTGTGAGGGGGAACACTGGTCGGGGCTCGCCTCGTGTTGGACCGGGGGAGCGCCTGGGCAACACGTCCCGAACAAAATCTCCAGCACAAATCTTGGACGCCCCAAGGACTTGAACATATCTCAGGCCAGATCTTGCCCCTCGAAAATATCCCGGAGGATGTCCCGGGGAAACCTCCTGGGAAATCTGGCCCCTCGGAGGTCTCCGTGGCAAGATCTCCCGGAAAACCTCCCAGGAAAGACCCCCCCGATCTAAGCCTTGTGGAGGTCCTAGGATTTTTTTTCAGCATGAAGGTAGTCGTGCGCAAGTACATCGCGCGCTCCAGTGGCTCGCCTGGCTACAAAAAGTTACAACCCGGTCTCGCCCCCGCGGCCTGCGAGGGTATTGTGGAGGTCCTAGGAAAATGAGAGGAGAGCGCGAGAAGCTGGAACGGCGAAGAGTCGATTGCGCGGCCTGGCAGATGGAAACGTCGAACAATCGATTCTGCAAGCAAAGTGCAAAAACCTGCCAGTAATACGAGACGCCGATAACTAGATGCGGGACCAGAAGCATCGAAAAGACGAGAGGCCGAAAACCTTCAAGAGGGACAAGGCGGCGGTCGACGAAGATAATGGCGTGGAGGGCGGGGAAATTGGTGTCCGTTCCGTGGGAGCCTGCGTGGCCCCTGGCGCTGTCCGATTTGGGCCTGATCTGGACAAGAATTGGACGAGATTCGCCCCGTCACAACACGGGAGACGGCACGAACGAGGCGGAGGAGGAGGAGGAGGAGGAGAAGGAGGAGGAGGAGGGGGAGGAGGAAATGAGGAGGAGGAGGAAGAGAAGGAGGAGGAGGAGGAGGAGGAAATGAGGAGGAGGAGGAGGAGGAGGCGGAGGAGGAGGAGAAACAGGCAGGACGAGGAGGAGCAGGAGAAAGAACCGAATGCGGTCCAATTGTTGCAGCCCCAATGCAGGAAAAGCTGATTTCCATGTCGCCGCCCAAAGCTCCAACGAAGAGATATCGAAGGGGAGGGCACCGAGGAGAACAGAAGGACAACGAGGAGGAGACGAAACACAAAGAGATGAAGGATGGCGAGCACGAGGAGGAACGAAACGGATGATGATGAGGAGTTGGAGGAGGAGGAGGAGGAGGAGGAGGAGAAGGAATAGGAGGAGGAGGAGGAGGAGGAGGAGGAGGAGGAATAGGAGGAGGAGGAATTCGAGAAGGAGGAGGAGGAGGCACAGCATGCCAGGTCAGGAGGAGGAGGAGGAAGAGAAGGACGACGACGACGACGACGACGACGACGACGACGACGACGGAGGACAGTAAGGAGCACGAGGAAATGGATGTCGAAGAAGGCAGGGGCCCTCGTGGGCTTTGGAAGCTACTCTTGGGGCTGCTGGGGCCGTCTGGGGCCATCTTGGGAGCATCCTTACTTTCGCCGTGAAACCGCGTATCGGCAGAGGTCGAAAATGGCCGGCCGGGTGAACGTCACCACATTCAAACGAGAAGGAGGAGGAGTGGGGAACGACAGACTGGACAACGGCGTTGTGCGTACACCCCCACGGTCCAAACGACCATTCATCTGCTAAGGCACGGGACAGCAAAGATCACATTGAAACAGCACAGCGCTAGCGATGCGAACTGACCCAGGAAACGGATCAACAACAAGGGGGGAGAGAGGAGGAGGGGGAGAACCGCACGCCAGAAGAGAATATCTTGGGGGAATCTGGGGGGCCTGTCGGGGTCCTCTTGGGGGCTTCTGGTGTCTTCTTGGTCTATCTCTCTTGGGCCGTCTTGGCGCCATCGTGGGCTGTCTCGGGGCTTGCACTGACCTCTCCTTTGACCTGCGTGGTGTCAACTACTTCTCTCAATGATGGTCCTTCACGCCCCTTCCCAGGTAACTCGCTTTGACATCGCTCGCAGGTGGGCGGGTGTACTACGCGAAGCATTCGGAATTGAGCGTAATCCGAAAGGCAACCTTCGAGCAAGCTACAAACACGCGAGCAGCAAGCTAAGGACACGCCAGAACTAAGATAAGGAGTGCATGTCAGCAACCTGACGAAAGCTAAACATGACTGTAAGGCAATGTGTGCACAATACTGATAAACGAGACGCGCGCTAGGTCAAAGCAGATACCACGCTAAATGCAACGTGCAGGCCACCTGAGAGTGGCCTTAGGGAAAGCAGACGGCATCCTTAAGGCAAAATGAAAGTGGGCTATAGCGCTAAGGCAGGCTGTAGGCAGACTGAAAACAATCGGATTACCATGCGTATGACCTGCAGGTTCGCGAGAGCAGAGGCTGAACGCAAACCAGGGCCAGGCCCGAGGCAAGCTGAGTGAAGCATACAGGCACGATAGCATCAAGCAAGCACCGTGCATTCAACCAAACAAATCCTCCTCCTCCTCCTCCTCCTCCTCCTCCTCCTCCTCCTCCTCCTCCCCCAACGAAGCGGGGGGGCGGAGCTCCGTGGAGGCAGCGGAGATCCCTAGAGAGCGACAAGGAGGGTGGGCCACGACTGCCACCGGAATCTTCGGCCCCACCCTCCCAGGGGCCATACCACAGGCACGGTGCTCTTGTTTCGTTGGCAGCGGAACGAAGCGGTCAGTGCTGGGCCTCCGCGCCGTGCTGCGTCTCTCGGCGCATGCCGACGGTGGCCGGGGCTTGCCTGCAAAGTCACGGAGAACGACCCAGCTTCCCACGTCGGCACAGGCCTGCTGGGGTTCGGCGGCGAGCCCAGGGGGAAGTGGGAAGGGGCGGGCCTTCTCAGAAGCCTCGAATGTCCCCCGACCTTCTGAGAAACTGTCTAAGCCTGCCTCAAAAACACATGAGAATGATCAGAAGGCCGGAAGGCTTCTGAGAAGCCCCAGAAAGAGAAGGCCTTCTCCTTCTCACCTCCCCCCTCGCTCGCCACCGAGGGGTATAGCTGAACGTATGCAGAACCAACAGGCTGAAGATTTATAACGGCAAGGACATAAAGTCGCTTGTCAGCATGACCTGATCTCTTGTTCAGAATAGGAGCTGTACATCCGCTGCCCCTCACGGGGGCTGTCCCAACCGCGCGCGCAACCGTAGGCCCTCGCGGGAAGAGAGGGCGAGGAGGGAGGGAGATGGGGGCGAGGAGGGAGAGGGCGAGGAGGGAGAGGGGGCGAGGAGGGAGAGGGGGCGAGGAGGGAAAGGGCGAGGAGGGAGCGACCGATAGGGGCGGCAGAGAGGGCGGGGAGGCGGAGAGAGCGGCCCGGCACAGAGCCAAGTACCATGTGCAGCGCATCCCGTCGAAGCAGAGGAGCCAGGCCAGATGCGGCTGGTATCACTTCAGCAGTACGGCAACATGCTGTCAGATAACCTGGTCACTCACCAAATTAGTGCTTGCGAAGCCTTCCGCGACTGTGGGTCACGGAACAAAGGAGCAACAAGGAAGTCCGTCCGTGGCTTCTTGCACCACGCGAGGGGGGCCTGGGCATCCTCTCTCCCTCCTCCTCGTCCTCCTCCTCCTCCTCCTTTTCCTCCTCCTCCTCCACCTCCGCACCTGTTAGACCTGTTACCTCGTCGTTGAGCAGGGTGAGCTGGGATCCTTGATGGTACGGATCGGCGGCGAGCGAGGGGGGGATATGAGAAGGAGAAGGCCTTCCCAGAGGGCGGCAGGGCTTCTCACAAGGCCTAGGGCCTTCTGCGAAGTTGTCTTTGCCTTCGCGGAAGGCTTCAGAAGCTTCTCGGAAGGCCAGGGGGGTCTTCGGAGCCTTCGGAGCGAAGGCCCCGCCCCGTCTCGTTTCCCCCCCATGGGCTCGCCGCCGAAGCACTGCAGCAGCACGGCAACAAAATTTGTCAGCATGACCTGATCTCCAACCAGAGTCGTGAGTGCCGAGCCGTCCACTTATCTAAAACTTCAACGGGCACACGATGCAACTATGCAACTATTAAGCCATAGCGGCCCTGGCCCAGCACTTAGAAGTAACGACAGCAAGCAAGTACGCTCGATGGTGACGGTCGTCGGTCCAATCTGGCGTATAGAGTTGCGCGACCCGTCAAGCACGAGCATGCGATGACGGGGACCGCGCGGGGACACTGCACAACAGGCCCGCCGAGGTGCTGGGTCATACGACCGAAGCCCTGGACCTCCTCCTGTGGACGTAAGTTACAGGGGCCATACGAAAGCTCGATGGACAGCTCGAGGATAGGAAAGATGGATGGATGGATGGCAGGATGGATGGAACGCATGGAGGGCCAGCATGCCTCAGTGCACTAGTTTGCGTGGGCACAATAAGCTGGTAGTCTAGATGTGGAGTGCTCTATGCGCGGGCTCTGCAAACAGAAACAACGTGGTAAGGAATATGAATCTCTACTTTCTAATTTCTAGCTGCAGCCTGGCCCGCCAGAGTGCCAGCCCCTGCTATGGTGGGCGGAAGAGGAGGAGGAAATGAGGAGGAGGAGGAGGAGGAAATGAGGAGGAGGAGGAAGAGAAGGAGGAGGAGGAAATGAGGAGGAGGAGGAGGAGGAGGAGGAGGAGGAGGAGGGAGGGGTGAGGTCTCCTCCTCCCTCATGCTCCTTCAGGTGAGCAGCTGGGGCTGCGGCGTGTCTCCGCCTGCCGGACAGGGCGACCGCGCAAAGATACTGCCGCATCTAGAGGCCTCCTAGATGGGTCCGAGCAGATGGGGTCGAAGGATCGCCCCGCATCTCCACAGCATCGCCGATGCATCGGCGATGCAACGTCGACATCGGCGATGCATCGGCAATGCGACGTCGACATCGGCGATGCATCGGCGACGTCGGCGTGGGGAAGCACGGGCTCCAGATCGAGCCGCATCGTCGATGCATCGGCGATGCGGCGCAGTCCTCCAACCCCACCTGCTCGCACCCTATCCAGGAGTCCTAGACACGTCTGCCTCCGACGCCATCCGATGCTCCCCGCACCTGCGGCCTCCACGGGGAGTTCAGGGCGGCGTCGCTCCAGGACGCGCCCGCCGGCCGAGTCGAGCCGATCCTCCCTCCCGTGCCAGCTGCAGGGTGAACGGGCGTCAGGGCGACACTGCTTTGTTGTTTGGCGGCGAGCGAGAGGGGGGAACGTGAGAAGGAGAAGGCCTTCCCAGAAAGCGGCGGGAGCTCTCAGAAGCCCTCCGGCCCTCTGATGAGTCCTGGAACTTCTGGGAGGGCTTCGGAAACGTCTCAGAAGGCCAGGGGGGGCTTTCGAACCCTCTGGGAAGGCCCGCCCCCTCCCACTCCCTCGGGGATGGACAGACCTCCCTTTAGTAAAACGTGGTTTAGTGAAAACGACCTGAGGCCCAAACCTGGCGGGCGCAAGCCTGGAAAATAACGGCCACGGCGTCCTCTCGAAAACCGAAAACGGACGATTCACCAATCGACGTGTCACTGTTGGGGGTTCTTCCCACCCCCCCCCAATGGACTCGCCGCTGATGCAAGGCGAGAGCGCGTCGGGGCGACTCGGTGGTGTGGCCGACGGCGCGCTGGAGCGAGGGCGGCCCCCCCCCCCCGCGCTGTGGGGCGAGGGGCGCGGAGACGAAGGGGCCCACGGGCACACGGGCAAACCTCGGGGGATGTTCACCACATGCCCTCTTCGGCCCTGGTTCGGGCCCAAGGGGGCGGGACATCGGCCCTGATTCGGGGACAAACTGCCTATATAAAGGGAAATTAGGACACACAAATAAATACACACAAATAAAGATTATCCCCATATTTTCCCATATTTTCTGGGTTTTTGTCTTCCCCCCCAATTCCCATATTTTCCCATATTTTCCTGGGAATCGAGGATTAATTGTGTCTGTGTGTGTTTTTTCCCTCCTGACTATAGATGGGCGCTAGGCCCCCGAGGGGTGGGCGTTGCGGGCTGGTTGACTCCCTCCCTGAGCCCATCAGGGTGAAAACCACATGGGCTCTTGCACCTCGAAGACCAAGCCGTCCTGTGAGTTACCTTCTGCCGATTCAAGGCTCGAGCATCCATCGAAGCGGCGTTTCAGGTTTCACCCTGTGCCCTCCACCCAAAGAAAATGCTCGGAACATGCACAAGCCCCAGGCTTCCCCTTACGTTTTTCATATTCTCTGGACGTTCGCCCGCTGCCCAGCTTTCCCCCATCTGTTCCTGGGCGCCGACGTGTGTCTGTGTCTGTGTCCATGCCCCCCCTCCCGAAAAGCAGCACACGCAAGGAGGGGACAGAAGGGCGCAGAAAGAGTTGAGAGTGGGCCGAGAGGCGAAGCAAGAGTTGACAGGAAGGCAGGGAGGGGCTGGTCGACTGGACGTGGGAGCGGCCCTCGGCAAGAGGAGCGACTTCTGCTGGGGAGACGTCAGACTCAGGTTCGGGAGACGCGGGTTGACCTTACGGGGCCACCATGAAAATGACGCGACCCCGTTTGAAATTTGACGCGAGCCCTCGCCGCAGACGCCCCACGAACACTGGACCAAGACGCGCTCGTCAAAGAGCGTCGGCAAACCCGAGTTCCGGCGCACTCGAGCCTTACGTTCCCCTGCCTCTTGCCCAACACCGACAGCGGCCGCTGCCGGGAAGGTGGCGTTCTGTCTCAAATGGACAACGTCCGCGGCGGCGCCGACGGAGAACCCTGCTCAAAATGAACAAGAAAAACTGTCGATCTGCGTGCTCAGTCTTACGTTTCCCCGATTCTGGTGCCCAGCCTGCACACTGCCCCGTGCGACGCGACAGTCGCTGCCTGCGCGCTCGGGTCCGGAGCAGGAGGAGGAGGAGGAGGAGGAGGAGGAGGAGGAGGAGGAGGGCAGGAGGAGCAGGAGGAGCAGCAGGAGGAGGAGGAGGCCGCTCCACACGAAGGCCGCGCACACAAGGCCACCCCGGCGAAGAACCAGTCTTGCTCGGGGGGTGCTCAAGGTTCCCCTTCCTCCTCCCTTTCCTCCTCCTCATCCTCCTCCTTCTCCTCCTCCTCCTCCTCCTCCTCTTCTGCCTCCTGCTCCTCCTCCTCGTCTTCCGCCTCCTCCTCCTCATCCTCCTCTTCCTCCCCCTCCTGGCCCAAGGTGCCCCCAGCTTTCCAGTACATCTTGGAGGGGCCCTCTGGACCTCGTGAGGGGTGCTCGGGAGCCCGCCGAGGCCTCCCCAGAAGTCCTGGGGGCACCTTGGCCCAGAGGCACGCCTGGCAACATCCGACGGGTCGCGGGGCGGGGGGGGCCGGCCGTCCACCCCAGAGGTCTCGACCCATTCCCCGGGACCAGCTCTTCACCCCGCGTCGTTCTGTGACGCCCCGAGAGGCCCGGCAGGGGCCCGCCCCCGGAGGCGGAGAAGAGCGAAAACCCCACCCGGCGCGACTTGTCGCCGCGCGAGGGGGTCTGGATGCCTGGCCTGGATGTAACGACCGCTGCCCGCCATAAGAGGACAGGGAGGGAGCCCCGGGCCGCCTCCGGGGAGCGGCGCCGCACCCGGGAGCCAGAGGCCAGGGCACCCGAGCAACCCAGGCCGCCCCCTCCTTGGTGAGCGGCATCGCACCCACGGGAGGGACGACCCACAGATAGGGACCGCTGCACTCTCCATCCCCCTCTAGCAGGGGATACGTCCACCCCTTTCCCAGGCTTCGCGGGCTTTTCGAAATGGGCCAGGAATCTGAGGCCCAAACCTGGGATGTACGACGGGGGGGGAGTCCATCCTCGATAGGGGCGCGTCCAATATAGCCCCCTCGGGATGTATCCCGGGTTGCCCTTCTTTTCTGAGCGGCATCATTTTTCGTCGTCAAGTCGGGGGATATGGGGAGGAAAATAACCTGCGACCCTCGTCTTTCCCTAGAGGCCTCCTAGATGGGGTCCGAGTAGATGGGGTAAGAGGATTGCACCGGAACGCCAATGCATTGCCGCTGTATCGGCGATGCATCGGCAATGCATCGGCGACGTCGGCGATGCATCGGCGACGTCGACGTGAAGCACATCGGGCTGCACATCGAGCCGCATAGGCGATGCATCGGCGATGCGGTGCGATCCTCCGACCCCATCCACTCCGACCCCATCGAAGGAGGCCTGGAAAAGGGGGCAGGGCAGAGAACCAGCTCACGTAACTGGTTGTCTTGGCGCCTCCTGACGCCAGAAGGCGCCCGTGTATCGAGGAATGGGCCCGGCGGCGGGGCCGGAACCAGCTGCCATGCTGCAGATTTCGTATCCTCCCTTTCCGTATTCCCGCCTCTCGCCCGGCCCGACACAGGAGACCCCTTCGAGCAGGAGCCAGGCCGGACGGGCGCAGGGCGGCGGCAAACGCTCCATGGACCGCCGCGCAAGAGGAAGCATCGGGAAATTCTGAGATCCCGCGGCTCTGGAGGATGTCTCGGGCGCCGCGAGGCCTTCTCAGAGCCTTCCGGAACGCTCTGAGAGCGGTCCGGAATAATCTGGAACGGATTTATCCTCGTTCCAGCCCCGTCCGACGCATCGTCTCGTGGTGTGCCATCAGGGAGCCGGCGGAGAGGTCAGAGCATTCAGGACCAGAGTGTTTCAGGCCTGACAGGTGGGCTGTGGCAGGGTCGCCCGAGCTGCCGATCACCGGCGGCCGCCAAGATGATGATGATGGTGATGATGCTGATGCTGATGCTGATGCTGATGCTGATGCTGATGCTGATGGTGATGGTGATGGTGATGGTGATGGTGATGGTGATGGTGATGCTGATGGTGATGGTGATGGTGATGGTGATGGTGATGGTGGTGATGATGATGCTGCTGATGGTGATGGTGATGACAATGATGAGAATGACGATGATGGTGATGATGATGACGACGACGACGATGATGATGATGAGGAGGAGGAGGAGGAGGAGGTCGCCAAAAATTAGAATAAGAAGAAGAAGAAGAAGAAGAAGAAGAAGAAGAAGAAGAAGAAGAAAACAACAGCCTAAACATAAACTTTCGACGGCCCGCGCGGCGTTCTCGCAGCTGCGCCAGCGGACACCCCGCTCCCCGGCGCGCGCCGCGCGGCAGCTGCGGCGCCGGAGGCGCCGCCAGGGAGGTCCAGCGCAGGTCCGAGAAACCCGCGCGGACCGTCGAAAGTTTGATGTTCAAGCGCTTCTCGGCGGTGGACAGGCCTCCCTTTGCCAAACCACCCTTTGGTGGAAACGACCCAAGACAGAACACCGACGGACCTGGACCCGCAGAAACGACGGCCGCGGCGCCCTCTCGCAAACCGAAAACGGCCCATTCGCTCGTTGGACGCATCGGGGTGGGAGGTCCATCCACATCCGAGCTCTGCTCCTTCGACCACGAGAAAGCACCCCTCAGCAGAGCGGCCGCGCTGCGCTTGCCGCCTGGCGTGGCTTGCTGGCGGGGCCGTGCATCACTGGGGCGACGTCGCAGCCCTCGTCGAGGCTGGCCGGGGCGGTGGTGGGCGCCTCGTCGCGGCGGTGCGGGTTGCCCTTGCCCGCCCTGTCCGCACCTCGGCTCCGCCTGCGGCCCTTGCTCCGCCTCGGGCCCCCGTCGACGTACAGGCCCCGGAAGAGGAGCGAGTCCGTCGCCTGCGGCCTCCCGACCTGCCCCTCCGGCTCTGCGCCCGCGTCCGTGAGGGCGCACAGGAGCAGCGAGGCCACGGTCGACTCCTGAGCCTCGCGGCGTGCCCTCGGCGGTGGCGACTTCACGCGTACGGCCTCTGCCTCGTCGTAGAGGCAGAGTGCGAGAGGCCCCTGCTCGCACGCCTGCCTGTCCTCCTCGTTGCCCCGCCTCTTCATCAGCGCCTCGTCACCGGCGTCTGCGAAGAAAGGCTCCAGCGCGGGCCCCAAGCAGCTCACCATTTTGCCAGGCCGACCTCACCCGGAGCGGCGGGCACGATGTAGCAGAGGGATGCAGACCCCCAGCAGCAGGGTGCATCAGCCGCCTGAGCCCAAAATGGCGATGGGAACGGCCGGCAATAAGGCATTCATGGCACGCACAAGCATGGGCAGCCGACATGCTTAGAGGCCTCCTAGATGGGGTCAGATATGATGGAGTCGGAGGGTCGCGCCGCATGGCCGATGCATCGGCGATGTGCCTTGTGCAGAGAGGACTGTGGGAAAGAGATCCGCCACCAATACTCCCTGGACCTCTCCTGGGGTGCGTTCCTAGAGGCCTCCTCAATGGGGTCGGAGTAAATGGGGTCGGAGGATCGCGCCGCATCGCCGATGCATCGGCGATGCATCGGCGATGCATCGGCGACGTCGGCGATGCATCGGCGCCATCGGCGTGAAGCAAATCAGGCTCCACATCGAGCCGCATCGCCGATGCATCGGCGACGCGGCGCGATCCTCCGACCCCATCCACCACGACCCCATCGAAGGAGGCCTGGAGAGGCGGCGATGGTCCATGCCTTCGAGGAGGTTCCCGGGCGAATGCGTGCAATGCCCGCCCCTGGGCGATTCTTGGGCGTGGCTTCATGGGGGGGTCATAAATGGGGGGGTCAGAAACGGTCCCCTTTCGTGCCCCTTTCGGGCCCCTCTGGAGCCCCAGGGGGCTCGTTTGGGTACCGTTTGGGTACCTTTTCGGACCACCCTCGCCACCCCCCCATTTATGACCCCTCCATTACGCAACGCCCAAGATTCGGCCCCATCGTCGCCCGGGTGCTCCAGAAGCGCACGCCAGACCTCCCACCATAAGATGTGTCCTCAGCACGCGGGCGCGAGCTCGTCGGCTTCGGCCGCCGGGGCCCGAGCTCGGGCCCCGCGGCAAGCGACATAATGGAAACCCCGGGCATCCAACTGTGAAGGGGAACTGGGACACACAAATAAATACACACAAATAAAGATAGTCCCCATATTTTCCCATATTTTCTGGGTTTCTGTCTTCCCCCCCACTTCCCATATTTTCCCATATTTTCCTGGGAATCGCCGATTAATTGTGTCTGTGTGTTTTTTTCCCTCCTGAAACTGGCCCCGGGCAAGAGGTCGGGACCTCTGGGGCCGAGGATGGTAAAAAATCGCATCAGCAGTTGCATGGGGCGCGCCCCCCCACCACCTAACAGACCGGACCCGCCTCTCCCTCGCGCCTTGATATTCCTGGCCCGCCTCCTTCGGAGGCGCCTTCCTTCTGGACCCCCGCGGGCCAAAACGCGAATGCATGTCATGACGCTGGTGATGATCATAAACGCGGTGGCAACCTCGATGGCAATGCCAATCGCGATCGCCATGCCATGATACCGCTTGCAGGAAAGATGTCAGTGATGTATGGCACTGACTTGTGATGTGGCGGTGAGAGTGATACGAATATAACTTGGACCACGATTTTGTGGAACGAAATCATTGCGCCGGCTTGGGGTGGCAAATTAATGACAGGGAGCATGTGGCGATCGAGAGTTGCTTTCTCGTGGATGACAGATGATATGTCTAGATGTTGATGGCACGTATGTTGACTATGCGCATGCCCAGAGCTATGACACATGGACGCGAGTATGTGAATGGAACGAGACGGAGAGGGGCGCGAATACGTGCATGAGGATGGATGCAAAAAGCTGGTCTGAAAAAACAGGTCCCACCGATGCTTCGGCTTTGGGCCCCCCCAGCCTTCCAATAAAGCTCCTTCACACCAGGCCAGGGGGAAGATGATCAAGGCATCCGGAGTAGTATCTGACAACCTACCAGACCACCCCATCCGAAGACCCAGATTTCGGGTTGGGTGGGGTACGGGCTGTGGTTTTTGAGGTCCCCCGACCCCCCCCCCACCCCACCACTAAAAATGGAGGGCAAATTGAAGCCGTCGGGTTGGGATGGGGTGGCTTGGTGGGTGGGGTGTATCAGCGCCTCGGGCAGAGGCTGCTCCGCGGCTCCCCGCCACCTCGCGCGGGCATGGCGAGCGCGCGCCCGGGCGGCCCAGCGGGGCGGGCAGCGGCCCAATGCCCACCTCGGAGGCAACAGGCAGTCCCTGAGGCCCCCCCACTCCCTCTCCGTGCCATTTCCACTTCCACCTCGTGCTCCTCATCCTCCAACCTCATCTTCCTGCTGCTGGCCCCCATCCTGGTCCTAACCCCTGCTCCTCCTCCTCCTTCTCCTCCTCCTCCTCCTCCTCCCCCTCCTCCTCCTCCTCCTCCTCCCCTTCTCCCTGTCCGTCTGCTCCTCTAGCCTGGCCTGCCCCAGCCTGGCCTCGCCTGGTCGCGCAGGGTGCCGTCGGGGTCTGGCCGCCGGCCGATTCCCGCGCGGCCTGGGCCCGGTGTGGTCTCGTGTGGGCACCTGGTGTTGGCTGGCTGAGCGGAGGGCCAGGCGGCTAGGAAGAGCTGGCGGAGGAGGAGGAGGAGGAGGAGGAGGAGGAGAACGGAGAGGATGGGGAGGAAGAGGAGGAGGAGGAGGAGGAGGAGGAGGAGGAGGAGGAGGAGGAGGAGGAGGAGGAGGATCGCACGCCACTGAGGGAGGGAGAAAGAGAGAAGGTCCAACGGTCCAGCGAAAAACCTTTTGGGGGGGCCCCCTCCGAGAGGACCAGTTTGTCACCCTGGCTGGAAGGCCGAAGACCAGCCAGGGGCTAAGACAGGGCCCCCCTGAGGAAGAAGGCTCGCCGTCACGAGGGAAAAGGCTCGCCGTCGTCTTCCCTGTGAACAGGTCAAGGGCTCACCCCTGTCCGCCTGCTCTCTGTCCAGGTGGCTACCTCGATTGCACGCACTCAGCCGAAAAAAAACTGGCCTTCTCGACTACACTCGAACCGAGGCATCTGCCCCGGTCGTTCGGAAAGCCGCGGGACAGGCTCACTCCTGCCACACTCACGCCGAAAAAGGTCCACCGGGCGATGCCCGCACGAGCGCGAGCCACGACAGACAGCAGGGGCTCCGACGCGGAGCCACAAAAGAGACCCAGATTTAGATCACTATGCGAAGGCACTCTGCACAGGCACGCCGAGAGGAACGAACAACAACAAAGATTCACCAGGGTCAGCGGTGACCCGTGGCACGACGGTAGCGGTCAAAGGCCACTTTCGTGACCCAGCCGCCCTGGTCGTCGACCTCGCCGTTAATCCAAGCCTCACTCATGGCTAGACGGGCCTCGCGGACGCCACGAAGCCAAGCGAGACCCGCTCGGCGCTGGGCCGCTGTGGCGGGCGTCGGACTGTCCGCCTCAGCCTCCGTGCGCCGGCCTGGCCTCCGAAGGTCTCGATCTGCGTCGAGGTTGGAGCGGTCGCCGCGCGCCGCCATGTGCCGTTGCAGCACCGTGAGCCGCACCTTGCCGACGGCCTCGGCGACCTCCTCCACGTCGTGCTTCACCTGCACCTGGACCTCGGGCCTGTCCGCAGCAGCGTGGGAGGTGTCGTTCTGGCCTGGGGCAACGACCATCTGCTCATCAGCGGCCCAGGCGAGAGGCTGGGCGGAAAGGGGAGGGCTTCGACCACCCGCATGTCTGCGGCCTCCGGGTCAAGCCCGCTACGACCTCCCTTCAGGGTCTGCCCTAGCTCTTGGCTTCGGGGCCCCCCGGAGGACGGCTGAGCGCCCCGAAAAACCGCACGCGGGCTCCGCGTCGCGCTCCACCTCGGGCTCCCCCTCCTTGACGTCGTCCTGCCCCTTCGGGCCGCCGCTCGAGCCGATGTGGCACTGCAGCTCGTCCGACACCCCGTTGGGCAGGGCGGTGAAGGGCGAGACGCGGGGCTCGACGTCGGACTGGCCGTCCGGCGACGCGTCGGGCGACGTCTGCACGGCCAGTGGAGATCGCAGGCGAACTCGCATTCAAGCACTCCTTGCGCCACCAGCGGGGCCCCGACGCCAGAGGGGGCGGCGCCTGCGGACTCCCCGCGCTGCGCACCCGCTCCGCCAAGCGAAAATGAAAGCCCGCAGCAGGCGGTGCACTGCCCGTCGCACGGCGCTGTCGAGGCCCCTCCTCAGCCCACTCGGGCGGCGCAGCCTCGGCCGGCGAACGTACTGTCGGCTGCCGGCGGCACGGCGGCAACGCGGACGCACGGTGACACCGCCTGGCCCTGCTGGCGCTGCGCCTCGCCGTGGCCACACCAGCCCTCGCCCAAGCACCTGCCCCCTCGCCTCCGGCGCCTTATGCCGCTGCAGGCGGTTGAGAGCGGGCTGGCGCATGCAAGCGATGCTCGCACCTTGGCGCGCAGCGAAGTGCAGCCCCGCGTTGCGCCTGGCGCGCTGCACCTGCCGAAGGGGCGCCTGCTGCTCGGGCTCCCCCGCAAGCGCGCCTTCCAGCACCGGCGCCGCCAAGGCCATGTGGGCGACCAGCTCGCTGTGCAGGGCCTCGCCGGGCGCCGCGATGTCGCCCTGCCTTGCGGCCAAAGCCACCCCCTTCGTCGCAGCCGCCGCGTGCCGCGCGCGCTCGCCGTCGAGTTGAACCTCGAGCGCCTGAACCTGGCCTTCCAGCGCCACGACGCCGCTCAGGGCGGCATAAACAGATCCGAGCTTTTCCACCAGCGCCTTGCTGCTCCGCTGCCGCCCAGGCAGCCCTGCAACCAGCCGTCGCCATTTGCCGCTCAGCGGCCATCCGCCCGCGAACTGAATCCACGCGTGGGTCAGTAGACCGACACGGGGAGAAGGGCGCGCGCGCGAAGCAGCTTGAGCCAAAATTGCTACGGATGATGGAGGAGGAGGAGAAGGAGGAGGAGGAGGAGGAGGAGGAGGAGGCGGTGGAGGAGGAGGAGGAGGGATGAGGAGGAGGTGGAGGAGGAGGAGGAGGAGAAGGACGGACGAGGAAAAGGAGGAGGAGGAGGAGGAAAGGAGGAGGAGGAGGAAGAGGAGAAGAGGAGGAGGAAGAGGAGGTTGAGGTAGGAGGAGGGGGAGGAGGAGGAGGAGGAGGAGGAGGAGGAGGAGGAGGAGGAGGACGCAGAGGAGAAGGAGGGAGGAGGAGGGAGGGAGGGAGGAGGAGGAAGACGAGGAGGAGGTTGAGGAGAAGGAGGGAGGAGGGGGGAAGGGAGGGGGAGAGAGGAGGAA